TGTTTGAAGACTTTAATAGCTGTGCCCAAAGTCAAAGTTAAGAGGAAGTAGTCCACTTGTGTAGTTTTAGATCTGACATTAGGGAGGTGGCTCTCGCTGCTCTGGCTAGATGTTGATCAAAGAACTACTGGAACTGAAAACGCCCTACTGTTCTTTACACCATACTGAGTTCAGTGATTTATAGCTAGTTGCCGGCCAAACTATAAACTATTTCAAAAGAAACTCGGGGTCACAGTTCCTTGAGGGTTAGCACTAGGAATTCAAAGTCAAAGACGCCTGTCAGAGGGGGATGACTCGAGTCTTTCCAACAGAAATCAAACAGAGAGTGTTTAGGAATACAGCCATGTCCACTGCGAATGGGATATTGGGCATATCTTATTTCTATTTTGGCAAGAGTCTGCTGCATAATTTGATCACAACATGTTTCTACAAAAACTGTGCCCAGTCTAAAAAAAAAATACCTTGATATTAAATTCCACAAATATATATTTTACTTAAAAAGTGCCTATTTTTAGGACCTGCTTTCCTGAATGGTGGCATTATTTTTACGACAATTATGAAAATTATTACTACCAAAAAATCCAGCATTAGCATTTCATTACAGTAATGAGAATGCCATTTTACTTGCATTACGGAAATGTGAATGAGCTCGTTTTTTAACATATACGGAATTGACAATAAGAGATAAAATTGAGATTTTTAACACAATTTTTATGATTGGAATCACTGTGGAAATGATTTCTTGAAGAAAAAAAAATCCTAATGGTCCTAAAGTTGCCTAAAGTTATTATTTTTTCCATCAGTATAGTGAAAACAAAAACTAATAATATAATAATCAACCACTAAAACTCCATATAGGTCTATTGTGTGTTTTTTTTTCATGTTTTTGAACAGCAATATCTGCCACAGCAACACAATCTAACTATTTATACGTTTTAGGTAGTGACTAATTCATAGGAATTCCCAGGCTTTTCGCTTTTTACACTCCAGTGATGGGTTTGTTTGCAGGTCCTTCATGATTACTTAAAAAAAGTTAGTTTTTGTACGTTTCACATTGTACAAATATATACAAAAGTGCCACCTCGTAAAATAATGATGTTTTACCATGAGATCAGATTGGCCACCATGTATATTTATCCCACAGAACTGCTTTAGCATTTATGTAGACTGTGTAGTGTGTTGACCATACAGTAGACTCACAGTGTATCATTTATTATCCAGTTAGATTATCTGAATCTGCAATCTACACAACAAAGCCACAAAGGCAAGCAACTGAACATCAGCATGTTTTCTTCTGACTCAGGCTGAGGCTAATTGGTTGGCTTTTCTCCAGCAGCTTCTGTTTGCCGACACACTCAGTTAGCTATAAGGACTTTACTCAATGTTATGCTGCAGTCAAGGATTTCAACTGCTCAGTGTCTTATAATTAAGCAGATATGATAAGGCATATAATAGTCCTGTGCATCCCATTGTCCTGGCTTTCTAAAAGAAACACAACAATTTTGCTTTTATTTGTAATACAACCTGTAATATTGGTCACCAATTCTTCTACACTCTTAGAAGAAAAGATTCTAAATATTTCTGTCAGACACTTCATACGTAGAACATTTTATTGGTTCCCATCATCATTTTATGAATTTAGTTTAAATGTTGTTTTTAAATACATTTTTACTTTGAATGAAAAACAGCTCGTAAACATACTTCATCACTAGAAAAATGTAAATAACCCGTTAAATATAAAAGTATTATGCAATCAATTAAGACATTTCTCTTTGTATAGAAACTTTTTTGGCAGAAATGGTACCCCTGACCCTGCCCCTAAACCTACCCATCACATGGGTTTAGACAAATTGTATGAATTCGTACAAGTGAGGTCGTATGAATTAGTACGAATTAGCCACTTTTTATTACGAGTGAGGTCGTATGAATTCGTATGAATTAGCCACCTCGTAAATTCGTACGAGTGAATAACAAGTGGCTAATTCGGACTAATTCATACGACCTCACTCGTACGAATTTGTACGATTTGTCTAAACCCACGTGATGGATAGGTTTAGGGGAGCGTGGTCAGGGGTAGGTCATTCGTACGAATTCGAATTCATACGAATTTGGTAACTGGTAAAATATGTACGAATTAGCAAAAATCATACAAATTTGTACAAGTGAGGTTGTATGATTTCGTACGAATTAGCCACCTCGAATTCGTACAAGTGAATAAAAAGTGGCTAATTTGGACTAATTCATACAACCTCACTCATACGAATTCGTACGACTTCTCTAAACCCACGTGATGGGTAGGTTTAGGGGCGGGGTCACGGGTAGGTCATTCGTACGAATTCGAATTCAAACGAATTTGGTAACTGGTAAAATATGTATGAATTAGCAAAAATCTTAAGAATTTGTACGAGTGAAGTTGAATGAATTTGTACGAATTAGCCACCTTGTAAATTCGTACAAATAAATAAAAAATGGCTAATTCGGACTAATTCATACCTCACTCGTACAAATTCGTACGATTTGTTTAAACCCACGTGATAGGTAGGTTTCGGGGCAGGGTCAGGGGTAGGTCATTCGTACGAATTCGAATTCATATGAATTTGGTAACTGGTAAAATATGTACGAATTAGCAAAAATCGTACGAATTTGTACGAGGTCGTATGAATTCGTACGAATTAGCCACCTCGTAAAATTCGTACGAATTGCCTTGAGATTGGGTTGGATATAACCAGTTTAGATCACAAACTTACTAACTGAAGACTTTACTATAGATATACACAGTAATAAACACGGTACTTCCTTGGAATAATGATGTATTGACTATTATTTAAATTTTGTTAATTTTGAACAAAAAAAGTTACATAGTATACAGTATAACCACACTGAACCTTGTTTTTTTTTTTCAAAAGCGTACATGTTCTTAGCTGATGCTTTCTCACCAAATAAAAATTTTGTACCACTACACACTGACTGACAGCAACAACCTTGTGAAACAAATTTAACTATAATTTTCAGGTTTTAAACAGCAAAGTAGATCATTTGTTATGCATAATGAACACAATAAACCACTTCCCTCCCTAGCACCGCACAAATCGGTTTCTAAAATCAATTTTTCAAAAATTTTTGACTGCAGAAGGTCCTTGAGAGCATTGTACATGATGAAAAATGTCAAAGCTGCTTCTTATTCACCTCGTTTTCCCTTTTATGTCATTGCATCTATTTTATGCTAAGCACAGACCCAGCCGAGTGTAAACGGGCAGAAGTTGAGCTGTGATGGACATCTGCTGTGCCCATCAGCGGCTGTCTGATCGAATGCAAGACAGCAGCCTTACAAAAGGCAAGAGACTCATCGCTCATCTCGGCTGCGTCAGGAAAACAGATTCAATTTGTCAGCCCTGGAGACTCTAACCTTGATAGTGGAAAAAACTGACACAAGCAGTGCAGTGCGTACAGTAGTCATGTACTGTATTTTGCTGTGTTAATGCCAAAAAGCTACTTTTTAAATGGACACACAAGTTCATTGAATGCTTTGTTTATTCAATAATTTAAACAAATGTTGATAAATACATATTTACAGGTCTATATGGGCAGATTGGCTAGCCCTTCTAGTCTTTGGGTTACATTAGCTTAGAGAAATGGTATAGATCAACATTAGGAGACATTTCCAATAATCCATCAGAAATCAGTCACTGCATGCCATATAATAGCCTTACTTCAGTGTCTTATGTTTTCAGTATGCTACATTTACTTTTTGTTTACACACAATTCAGGTGTTTTACACTTCCAGCATATAGTTTGGAATAATTACGATTTTTTTTTTAACGTTTTTTGAAAGAATTATTTTCTGATCACTAAGACTGCATTTATTTAATCCAAGTATAATTACACTTAAAATAATTGTTTTTTATTATAATATACTATTTATAAATATAAAATATAATTCATTCTTGTAATGCAAATCAGAATTTTCCACATTACTCCAGTCTTTATGTCACATGATCCTTCAGCTGATTTGCTTCTCTTATTTGGTTCTTATTATTATCATCAATGTTGTTAAAAAAAGTTGTGCTGATTCATATTTCACAACTTGTAAGTCTTATTATTTGTAGTTGTGTTTTCTACTAAATGTTGCAATTATAAGTTTTAAGTAGTTGCTAAGCTATGATGTAATTGAAGGGCAAAGCTTTGCCTCTGCTTGCCTGCTAACTAGCATTACAGTGTTGATGTAGTGTACTAGTGTTTACTGAAAGACTGTTCCCCACCCCTTAGGAAAATCATCCATGAATTTGTGATCGATTACTGTTTGTATTACCTTAGTTTTCTGATAAATATGATTAAATGGCAGACATCATATCTATAAGGAAAAATAAAACATACCCCTCTGAAACTTCCTGTGAAATTCATTCTTATAAAGTCCGTGCTTGAAATCTGTTCAGCAAAATCCTCTTGTTCGTTAACATTGTCAGGGTCTGAATCAATAGAAATGGTTTGAAATTGACACCATCCTTATTTATATTTACACTAGTAGAGGAACACGGTTATGAATGGGGCGGGACATTTCCCGAACACATGCTAAGTGCCAATCACAACACACTGGGCAAGCTAACCAATCACAGCGCATGTCGTATTTTGGAAGGTGGGGCTTCCAAGAGAGAGGAGCTGTGATAAATAGATAAATACGCGTTTTTTTTAACAATAAGCATGAAATAAATTCTACTAGGCTACACCACAAAAACAAAACCAAGACTTCGTAAAAGTGCATAATAGGACCCATTTAACTTCTTTGAATAGTCTTACTTACCACAAACTTTGGAATGGTAGTATATCATGCTACTGCTACTACTATGCTAACTGTTTTCGGCTTGAATAATAATAAGTAGCAGCTAAATGTTTCTCGAGCAGAAAATCAGCATATTATTGATTTCTGAAGGATCACGTGACGCTAAAGACTGGAGTAATGATACTGAAAATTCAGCTTTGCATCACAGGAATAAATTACATTTTACAAGATATATTAAAAAAATCTAAACATTACTGTTTTGTTGTATTTAAAAAAAAAAAAATTAGCCTTGTTGGGCATAAAATAATAGATTAATACTTTTTCCAAACTTTTTACCGGTAGTGTGTATTCCAGTGATAATGAAGTTCACAAAAACAAGGATAACGCTCAGAGGTCATCTGACTCTGGGATAAATGTGGAAGACATGGATGATATGGGCTCAAGGGAGATGCTGGGAAGTTTCAGAGGAGCACTGTCACCAACCCAGCCTGAGGCGGTTCTGTTGAAGGTGGGCCGTTTTAGCCCGGCAGGTGCTTTGGCCATGGGACTTGGAATGGCGTGGCCGGGATCCACATCAAGAGATTTAACAGGGGCTTTGGGTGCCTTGCCGAAGCCACCAAATGGAATAGCGACCCTTCAATTAGAGGAGTGACAGTTAATGAGAGCTTTGAAGACAACACAACAGATAACAATCTTACAGCAAAAAGTGTACAAACCCTGCAACATTTTAGATCATTTTACCCACTTCATCAGATTATCTTGCTGACTGGGTCTAATTCAGATACTGCTGGGTGGCATCTTTCTGCTCATTAAACATGTTCAGGCAGGTTTCCAACATAATTAAAAGTCAACACACAGCATTTGTAAACCATTTTATTTTTGTAACTTGACATATTTACATATGTGAGAATGTATGTCATGAGAATATAGACCAGTGCAATAAGCTGAGCATGATCTGTAGTAATGTTATGGTAACTAAGGATACGTTTCCCACAACAACGATATACTAAAAACGGAAATGTTTTCCAATGACAAAAAATGCTGTATTGTGCTGACGGGCCAGTAGGCGGCGATGTCACTTTGGAAAGAAACACTACGCGCCTATAGGAAGTGACGAGAACGAACACCATTCTGCAAATACTTGATAGTAAACAAGATGATAGAAGTGTTGTTCAGAATAATTTTGACTTTTTCTCTATGAAGTTCTTCATTAATCTGATTTCTGGCTCCAACAACAAAAAGGCAGTTAAAACTGTCAACATATAACGTTAGTCCTTCTCTTTGTAACAATTCCCTGGCAAAATTGTATTGTATTTTGTTTACGTGTCATAATCTTGTATAACCTATTGTTATGTATATTTTGGTTAGTCACTTGTGATTTGTACCTTTTTTTTGCATAAAAAACATTTTGTATGGTTATTTAGATTTCTTACAAGTTTTGAGCATAGCACAGACCTGTTAAAGCTCTTGTACTGAGGTATCTCATGTCTGGTTTCAGGTTCAGGCATGCGGGCGACCAGCGTTTCGGCCAGAGAGGGGTCACTGATGAGGGCCTGCTCCCAGGGGGACTGGTAGGATTTGGGCATTGCTGTACAGTTGAACTTCTCTGCTGGAACATCCTTCAAGGGACCACCATAGCCTGTTGAAAGCATGGGGGGGGGGGGAAGCTTTATTTGACCATAAGGCATTAACATTTACAAGACATGCTTGCTGATAAAGAAAAACACGGAAACACTTTACTTAACGCCCGTTTCACACATACTCCGTTTGCAGTGCGTATGCGGTCCGTATTTTTTTCCGTACCCATGTTAACAGGTTAGAGCTTTCACACTGCACGCGGATGCAGTCCGTCGATCCGTTCCAGTTGCGGTGCGTATACAGCAGTGCAGAGATCGTTTCCGTACCGAGTCTATTTTCTGCTGTGCTGCAAACGCAGAAATAAAGTGACAGCGCACGGTTCGTGGTCAAAATGAACTCAGATTGACCTCGAAATGTAGTAGTTTCACCATAAATGCATTTAATTCAATAAAATGTAATAATCTCTCCATAAAGGTATTTAATTGTTTCATATTTTTACTTTAAGACATCTTAATATATAGGCTAAGTAATGCATGGAATTGTATGCATCGTGTTTAAACGAGCATGCGTCCATTCAAGTTTGTTAAAGAGAATCGCAAAGCCATGGCAAAACTTTTATTTTAATAAAAGTTGCTGCATATGGTGAACATATTTTGATTACCAAAAACCAGGACACATGGCCCAGAAAACAAATGATACTCGAAGTTTACTCAAAGATGCCTTATTAATTTCAATACAATTAAAATAGGCTATGCCCCCTCTGTGGAGAAAATTGTTGTATTAAGACACAAATTCAGATAGGCTTCTCAGGGGATACTCAACATGTTTTATTATGACAGGTTGGTTTAAAAAATAATGAATGAAATAATGATTAAAAAATAATGTCTCTTCTGTATTAGAAAAATAAATATATAATATTAAGTAACTAAAAGAAATACCTTCAAATTGAACAAAAATACCTCTCACAAACGTACAAAAACGAACTAGTTTCCTTCCTCTTTATCCTGTTTTTCTTCCTCATCCTCCTTGTTTGCTCATCTCCTATATTTTGCTGTAAAGCTGATCTTTTCCAGCGTTTTTTTAATTTTTTTTTTTGAAAACCAGGACATCACTTTATAAAAAACGGCCAGGAAGGACGTGAAAACAGGACTGGGATAACAGGACTGTTGGTCACTGGTCACGCTATTGCTGCATAACTTCTGATTTTGAAATAAAAATAGCGAGTGTTTGTGGTACAGCTCACGCACTGCAAACGCAGCATATGTGAAAGCACTTTAGCGCGTGCGGCTCCTGTACCGGATACGCACCGCAACAGTCACCGCATACGCACTGCAAACGGAGTATGTGTGAAACGGGCGTAAAGCTCTTATTATATACAATAATACATAATAAAAGGAGACAACAGATAAATGTAAAGCTCTCTAATTGAATTGTTACTGGTAAGACTAAGTGAATCTAAGTGAATCAGAGAATGTGCTTAAATCATCGTTTATTGATAAAATCTTGTAATTTAAAGCTACACTGTGTGATTTTTAACCCCATCTAGCGGTGAAAAGGTATATGACCATCCAGTGAATTAATTTCTGTTCCTCTCAATTCCGATTTCGTTTTAACTCCTACGGTGGCCAATGTAGTCCAAGATTAACATGGCTTCCAGTTCAACCTCGTCCATGAGTGTTAACTCAAACGTAAACGTGAAAGGCGAAGCTTGAATTAAAGGGTATGTCCCACTTTGGCTAATGTACTTTCAAGATGGAGGGGCAACTTGGCGACCGACATTAGAATCCCTTACCCGTATGTATTTTCAAAGGCATATTATACACTCACGAGAATATACTTTATTACTTGAACGAAGTAAATATACATTAATGAGCACATACATTTTTGAAAGAACTAAGTGTTTTTAGCCAAGAATAAACTAAAAGAGTTACACAGTGTAGCTTTAAAGGTAAATAACATAACAAATCTCCAAAAAATGCATTAAAAAGTAGAAAAGAATATTGTCCAAAATAAATAAAATAAGCTCTATGGACCAAAAAAAAAAGTATACGTTTCGGACTTCGGTCATTTAGACCCGCGAGGAAAGAATTTGTCACAAAACGCGAGGGAAGGATGAGAGTTACATACACCGGGAGAGTATCAACAGAAAACAAAACAGGTACGATAACTGGGAACTAAATATAGAGAACAAGAACTGAACTGAATAACACTATGAGCAATAAAATATTATTATAACTGTATTAGCAAGAAAATAAAGAGTTGACACATGTTTCTCACAGCTCATTCTCATTTTGGACCCCTTCTCTCAGCACTGTCTCAGTTGTGTCTGCCTTTATTTCTCCTAAGGAATTTTAGAAGAAACATCTGACAGTGTTGATACTAAAAAGAGAGATATATGAGAATCACAAGTCTCCTGAGCTTAGGAAAAGCAACCACTGAGAAATAAAAAAAACGATATTATCTGCAAGTACAGTTTTTTTTTAAAGTTTTAAGATTAGAAGTACACTACAAGTACACATTCAAGTCCGCTTCTTTTTCACAAGAGAAGTTAAAAAAGGGAATTTTGCTACATTTCCTGAGGGTTTAGCTCTTTAGCTTATTACCTTTAGGTTATTATTATTCTGATGGACAGCTAGCACACTGTAAGCTACTGCGGTATTGTTAGCATCTACAGTGGTATATTACTGTCTGGTCATCATTTAATCTACAGTAAAAGGCTTCACAGGGTTCTAAAACATGCTGTGGGGGGACGAAGGGGGACCCTTCAAAAAGAGTATACCTCAAATCGCTGTTTACTGGCAGGGCCAGCAAGCCCAAAACAGCAGTTATGTAATGTGGGTGTTCTGTCACATATCACCCTCATACTGTGGACAATCTCCTTCCTGAGTTTATTGGCTTCAAGGTTAGAAAAATGCAATTCTGAGGGTCTGGGCAGTTCAACGGGCCTCAGAGAAATGATAATACAGCAGGGGGGATTCGTTTTTAGACACTGTTTTCTGCAGTGCTCTGACACATCAAGATGCTGATGAGCTATGAAGTATTTCTAATTTGGAGGCAATTTATGCTTGCTGACTAGTGGCACAGGAAAAAGTAATCCACGCAAAAATGTTGAGAGATGGTGTTAGTGAAAATTATTTGAGATTTAAAGGGATAGTTGACTTTGACATACATGTTTGGTATGTTTAGCTTACCTCAAGGGCATCCAAGATGTAGGTTTCTTTGTTTCCACCGTATTTTCAATTTTGATATTTTTAGGTCAAACCGTTCTTGCCTGTCAGTCATATAATGCGGGTCTATGGTCACCACCTCAAAGAGCATGCACAAATTAAACATGATTTAATGACTCGTAAATGTAAGTACGCATTGATGGCCTAAGACACGAAACGAGCGGTTTGTGTGAGAAAACGAACAGTATTTATATCGTTTTTACCTCTTGTTACCAAGAGCGCCTGTGCCCTCAGATCACTTGGACGTGGCTGTGGTCACAAGAGGCAAAAACGATATAAATACTGTTCGTTTTCACACACAAACCACTCGTTTCATTTCTTAAGCCGTCAATATGTACTTACATTTATGAGTCTTTAAATCATGTTTAATTTGGACTTCTCTGTGCATGCTCTTTGAGGTGGTGACCATAGACCTGCATTATATGACTGACAGACAAGAACGGTTTGACCTAAAAATATCAAAATTGAAACTACTGCAGAAACAAAGACACCTACATCTTGGATGCCCTTGAGTTATAAGCTAAAACATACCAAGAATGTATTTTTTTTCAAAGTGAACTATCTCTTTAATTCCTTTCTTTGTAATGCATTTACAGGTAACTAACCGCCCACAATATTCCATCTCAAATCAAAGTTCAGTTTTAGTCTAATGATGTCCAGCCTAGAAAAAAATTTCACTTTTAGTTCAAATTTTATACTTTTTTGTATTTTTTTTTTTTGCAAGCATATTGCATAGTGTTCTTGGAGACAATTGTTTAATTTTTGATATCGCAAATGAAACATTCCAAATTGTGCTGACATAATTTTTGCTGCAAAATACATGCAAAAATAAAAGAAAACCAATGAAATATTAAAAAAAAAAAAAAAACTATAGCCATAGTTTGCCTTTTTGCCAAATAATTTTGTCAGATAAATATTGTCCTGTATAAAATATAAATATATACTTCCCCCTCCGGATATCACTTTTAAATGCATAGCGTGAGGCTGCTCTCTCTCACACACACTCAGTGAAACTTTAGTGTCTGATATTAATCTTGTTTATTTATAATCAAAAATTCATCTGCCGGTCTTCATATCATCCCCTCCCCATCTTAATGAAGCCTCAAAGACACTAAAATAGCAGGACGTTCGGTAAGTGTGTGCTCATCATCCACCAATCTAGAAAGGATGGCCAAGCCCCAAGGCTAGATCAGGGAGTTTTAAGGATAGCATCTGTTTAAGATGTTATCATGGACAGTTGCGTCTCTGTGCCACCACTTAAAGAACACAGGAAACACTTAACAAGCTTCCTGTTAGGACACTACGGCCACTGTTCACACAGGAATTACATGCTCAAGAGTGTGCAGCATATAAAAGTTAATGCTATACTGTATATAAATGCATCACAGACACAGTACATTATCAAAGTTTACATTCATTGTCACATGTAGGGTCTTTTGGTTTCGGTTTCTCTGTTCTGTTCGGTAGTGTGATGATTATGTAATTATGCAACATGACATCATGACTTTTGCGTAAACATACACGCCACTTTCCAGTCAAGTGGCTTGTTATCTCTATGCATTTTTGAGCTATCTGCGTGTATCCGCGTGTCTACGCCATTAATGTCCGAGTGATTCCGCGTGTCTGTACACGCCGTCAAATGTCAGAGCGAAACGAAGCAAAATGTGGATCTAAATCTGGGGAGCGATCTTTTTTTTCCTAGGATGGTAGGGGAAGACTCATAAATGCCATTAAGCCCAGTGACGGGTAGGTTTAGGGACGGGGTTGAGGTAAGTCATATATTTATATAACGTTAAGTCAATGGCGTTCAAAAACACGCTGAAAAGCGATTATGCGCGTTGATAGCACGCCAAAAATGGAAATACAAATTGGCGTGTCATACACACGCTACTTCATGAGATCAGTCTGAATTGTGAGAGGTTTTTATATATAGCACCCTCTATTGGCAGATTTTAGAGTGCAACTTCAGAATATCCTGTTATCTATGACTGAATCCGAAATCGCCCCCTAAACCACCACTCATTCACTATTGATGTCCACAAATACAGTTCATTTCAGTGCAATGTTGGATTGAATGAGTGCACTCAGTAACGTCCACTACAACACATTCTCATCCCAAGACGTCATCTAACTGACGCTTTTGACCATACGTCAACATCCGACGTTTTAGGGTACCCTTTAATGTCAGTTAGATGACGCTAATTAATCCTAACCCTACCCCAGACATAAACCTACCCGCTTTACCTTTAACGTCAGTTAGATGACGCCCTAGGATAGCATCATCTAACTGATGTTAAAGGGTACCCTAAAACGTAGGATGTTGACATATGGTCAAAAGCGTCAGTTAGATGACGTCTTGAGCTTGGACACATTTGCTTTAATGGCTCTGTAGTATTTGTTCATTGCATTGAGCAGTGTCATAGTCAAAATGGGCGACGCTAGACCATTTAAAGGCGCACTATGTAAGATTTTTGGATCAAAATATCCAAAAAGCACTAGATTATTGTTATATTATATATTTTGTTGAGTTGTGTACTTACATGATCCCCAATGTTTCTAAGTATGTTTAAATCCAGAAAATTAAGCAGTTTTAACCAGGACACAGATCGTGTTCGTGCATCGACTATCAATGACATCATACCCGCGTTACCCCCGATTTCAGGTTTTACTCTGAACCATGGAAACACCAAAGGTGCTTTAATATATTATGTGTTTTATTTGACAGGTCAGCCACTGTTTGGATACATTCATCAACAGAAAATGATTCATTGTTATATAGCTCAACACAGTCTTTTTGTTTAAATTGGTTACCGTGAGAACCATGTTTTACCATGGCTAATATCGATCTAGCTGACTGCAGTGTGTAACAAGTGTCTCATATGCAAACGCACAGAGTAGCATTATATCAGCTTTCCGCTCCAAAGGCTTTCGTAAGGTTAATAAATCTTCAATACATTACCGGTCATCCGTGAATATGATTTCTGTCCGAGTCCCATCGTATTCTCCACTGGCTGTAGAGGTGAAGACAAAAACTCCCATGATTCTGCGAAATCGAGGCGTCATCAAGCTACGCCTTTGTTTTGAATAAACGACCTCTAGTGGTGAAAAATTACATACTGTGCCTTTAATTGTCTTTTGTCTTCATTAAAATTCTTTTGATATGTTTCATCAGGGTTTTGGGATGACCGACGCATAAGCGTGGGAGTGTCTGAGTAGTGAGGGGGGATTTGGAACCATCCCAACAAAGTTTGAGGTCTCTACGACTTGTGATGTCTGATGCCCTGACACTTTCGGGCATAGTTTTTTAACCCTGCTCATGACAAATTCACAATTGGCAAAAAAAGTCCAATGGGGTTCCTGCACCTTTGGTCCTTGGACCCCTAAAAAAAAAAGAAATGGCTGTGGACTAACCTGGGGCAATAGTCTCAGGGTTGAGTGTATTGTGTGCCTGGTCAACTTCAAGACAATTTTCATGATTTGTTGTCATAATGTTTCTCTGGCCCAGAGAAATGTCATCAATCTGAGAAAAAAAAACAAAAAACAGAATGGACTCTACAATGAGAATCTGTGTTTTTTTGAATTGTATATAACCACACACAGACCTTCTGTGCTTTTGGACCACGCACTCTGTGTTCTCTGTAACTAATGACACTTACGCTGTGCTGTGTGTTGGCTTCATTCTGAATACTTTCAAAGGTGTATTTCTCTGAGCGCTTCTGACGCATCTTAAAGAGACGGGAGCCCCTGTTTGATGCTAAGGAAAGTTCCTCCAACATGATTTCCTTTGGTGCGCTAACTTTCCTTCCTAGATCCATCTCTGCTTCTGTGGAAAAAAAAAGTAAAAACCAATTAAGCTTACAATACGTCAACACAGCGAGGCATCAAACCACCAATCGCTCCCTGGGCGCAACAGCAAAATACAGCTGCCCACTGCTCACTGTTGTGTATGACACCACGTTTGCAGTGTGTCTGTTCTCTACTCCTAATGTGTGTGAACTAACTTGGATGGGTTAAATGCAGAGGACAGTTTCAGAGTATGAGTTACCCTACTTGACCATCACATGTATTTTAAATGAAGTACAGTTGGGCCGCCATAAACCCTATTCGGATGGGATTAGTTTTACAATGGTAGATGGAGTAATGTAATTTTACCACCGGAGGCCTGTAATAATAATGGGCAATACGCACAGGATAAAAAATCTAAAAAAAAAAGTGGGAGAGGTAATTCAATTTACTCACCGCCGTCACGTTCCTGTCGTCATTTGCGTATTACGTTGCTTTCTGATATCACATGCGCAAATACATATAACCTATATTTATATATATATATATATATATATATAAATACCATTTACTGTAGGTCTGGCCTCATTTATAAACGTTGCACACGCACAAAAGGCGGCGTACGCTGCTCTCTACGCACTGATTAGTATTTATAAAAACCAAACTTGAGGAAACTTTTTGCGGCCCTTCACGCAAACTCTGACGCAGGCGTACGCACAAAAACGGGTGAAATGAGAAATGGCGACACCGTCGGCAGATGGAAGAAACAAGTGAAAGTGTGTGAAACTGTAGACCGTTGTGTAAAAGAAATGGCTATATTGCCTCTCATAAAAAAACATGAAGACTTCACAAAGCAAGTCTTACAATTAACAGCCTACACAAACACCCGTTTTATCGATCTGCAGAGTAAAACAAACAAAATCGAACGAAGATTACAACAGAAATGCAAATTAACACATATTTGCAAAAAGTGAAATATGTTCTGCAATAATATTGGTGTGTTATGCAATTCATTCTCATAACACATCAGCTTGTCAGATGCAATCAAATGGATGGTAATAAAATGCGTAATCACAATGCGTAATAACGCACAAGAAGTTACGTTTCTTGGTTTTCCTTGGTGTCTGCCATGATTTTGCAATCGATGATTATTAACTAATGCCCGTTTCACAGACTATTTTTGGGCAACTATGGGTGTGACATGAAGTCGCAAAAGCTGCGCTTCATTTAGAACCGATTGTGATTTATTGAGGGAAAACTGCGTAGGATCTTGCTTGCGTACGTTTTTATAAATCCGAATATTCATATTCATGACCAATTCGTACGAATTCGTACGAGTGATTCAAAAGTGGCTAATTCGTACTAATTCATACGACCTCACTCTTACGAATTTGTACGATTTGTCTAAACCCACGTGACGGTTATGTTTAGGGGCGGGGTCAGGGGTAGGTCATTGGTACAAATTCATACGAATTGGCTAATTCGTAAAATATGTACGATTTAGCAAAACCGTACTAATTCGTACGAGTGAGGTCGTACGAATTGTTACGAATTAGCCACCTCGTAAAATTCGTACGAATTCCCGTGAGATCGGGTTGGGTATGCGTATTGAAGCAGGGTTGGAACTAAACTCTGTGGGACCGTGGACCTCCATGAACTGAGTTTGACACGCCTGTATAAACTGTGGTGTTTATCACAGCAGTGTTCCTGATATAACTGATCAACAATTCAATTTAGTTGTCAGTTGCCTTTAGCAGAGGCCCAAATGGAGTTATTGAAGGCTGTATTGCAGGTCACTTGGGAAGCTCTTACATGCATATCAAAGGATGAAAGTTTATCCTGCTGGTATGTTCTTACAGCTGTCAAGCATCATCTTGCCGTCAGCCACTGGCCGATCAGTTGTCCGTTCCCCGAATTAGAGTTTCAAACAGACAACTACAAAAGGATTAGTTGCCCTCGGTAGTTATTCATCTCTACAGATCAGTATTTTTAGCTGTCCAGGGTGAGGTTCATTTAAATACAAATGTGATTACACAAATCCTAACAGTATTTTAATGTAATATAGTGACATGATGTGAAAGCCATGGTAGCCCGTATTCAGAATATGCTATCAGCACTTAACCCATCCAAGTTAGTGCAAACACATTAGAAGCAGTGAGTGAACACACACGCACACACACACATGTTAAGCTATCTAAATGGGAAATTGTATAGACATAATTGTTTGTATACTGTACAAACTATATTCTATCCCCTAACACTAACCCTACTCCTAAAAAACTTTAATTTCTTTATTTTTAGACCAGATTTACAAATGAGGACGTCCCTAAAGGAAGGTTTTTGGAGATTTTGTCAGGTTTTGGTTACTTCTACAAATTTGTTCCCAAAATATAGTTAAGTATAGGCACACACACAGACACACACCTAGCAGAGGGCCTAAATGTGTAAATGTAGGCTACTATAATTAGCTTGTTTGGGTTTACAGTGTGTATATTTTACTAGATTTATATTAACTTGGAAGCCTTTAAATAAAAGAAAAGAAATTATTTTATTCAGTATGCAACAATTAAAAGAGGCAATTAAACACTTTTAGTCCGTTATAAAAGATTTTTATTTTAAATAAATGCTGTTCTTCTACTTTTTATTTACCAAAGAACCATGAAAAAAGTATCATAGTTTTCAAGATATATTAATTAGCACATCTGTTTTCTACATTGATAGTTAAAGAAATGTTTCTTGAGCAGCATATCAGCATATTAGAATGATTTCCGAAGGATCATGTGACTGAAGACTGAATGATGCTGAAAAAAATCAGCCTTGCATCACATACGTTGCATTTAAAATTCATTAACATAAGTGCAGCTTTGATAAGCACTTAAAAACTGTAAAAAAAATAATCCTGTAAAATAAACGGTAAAGCTGTGGTTGCCAGCATCATACTGTAAAAATACGGTGTGTTACTGTTTTTGAAATTAGACGCTAAATACTGTATTGTCAGCTACATAATATAAAACTTTAATTTAACAGCTATGCTCTAACACAAAAACAGTAACACGCCGTAGTTTACCAAGTTTACCGTTTTTTTTACAGGATTATTTTTTACAGTATATAATATATACACTATACTATACCACACACACACACAGGTTAGTAATAAATCAATGGTAGTACCATCAGTGGCATGGATCTCTCTACAAATAGCAGCCGCCTGCATTTTCCTCTCCTGTGTTGACATCAGAGTATGCTGAGACATGCTGTCTGTGGAAAACAAAGTTAGGGAATGTGAATCTACAACATTTTGCCCCTTGCAATCTCACACATTTTCAACCACAACAAACAAACAAACTCATAATCACATTCATAGTCTAGTGGGTGACATTTATTAGACTTGCTGAAAGGCTGACACTAGCACATCCCTTTAAATAACCCAGTGCAACTAAACATGACGTCCGAGCGAAGGCATTGCCCCCTGTGTGGTTCTGCAGGGGACTGTGAATCGATATGCCTGATATAGACCCAACTGTAGAGAACGCTGCAGCCGAATGGTGTGATGTCACACGATTACCAGGGAAAAGGTGGTGTGTCCACATCCATTACTTTGTTATTACAAGCTATTTGCTAACATGTTACTAAAGATTGTAATTTCTGATGGAAAGCTTCTCTAACAGGGCTGAACGTGTTGTTAATGTTGACTAAAACTACAACAAAAATAATTAATTTGAATAATTGAAACAAAAAGTTGATTTAAAATTAGTTTAAAAACTTGAATGCCATGTACATACCATGTACCATACTAAAGAATGGTACTATGGTTCATGCCTAAAACATATTTTAAAAAAAAATAAATAAAAATCAATATTTTAAAAAATTATTTTATATTGTATGTGCACTAGTGTACTTTAAATCTTAAAAGTATATTTAAAAAAATACTTGCAGATAATAATTATGACATAAAAGGCCACTTAAGTGCATTTTAAGTCATTATGTCAACTATCTTTAAGTCATTTTAAGTCATTATGTCATTTATCTTTATAAGTACACTTATTTTGATTGGTTGACTAACGTACTAAAGCACGTGTAAAGTACTTGATTATAATTTGACCTGCAGTTTGTTATTTATTATTACGTTTAAAGTTAATATATTTTAAATATACTAAATTTCAATTGTGCAATTGCAAATATAGGCCTATGGGTTATATTACGTTAAAATGATCATAAATGCAGTATTAGCAGTACACTTTAACAATATTATAAAGAGAGTAGAATTCCAAGTGAAATCACATACTTAAGTCCTTTAAGTGAGTCAAAAACCTAACTAATTGCATTTACTTTCATGCCAAAAAAAAACATTTTTATTCAGTTAAATTTTTTATAAAATATAAAATGTACTATTTCCGCAATAAACACTCTTTTTAAAAGTAAAAAAGTCTAAAGTGTAGTTCTTTTTTCGGCAGGGAACATGCCCCCCCCTCCCCCATTAGGTAGAGTATACTGTATACTGTAGGCATTTTAGTTCATTCCCTCAATGTTTTATTTGCTGAATGCACAAACTACATCAATATGTGAAACCAACAGCATGCACATATCATAAATGAGCAGAATAATCAGTACAGTCTAATGCAGTCTATTAGGGCTATAGTGACGACTGCGACCTTACTGCTTTGACATTATTGTATATCATTATGTTGATCATGGCAGTCAGAAAAGCTGACAGAATTTTTTAACACACTGTACACACAACCCACACATCCGTGCTGCATAAGCACCTGAGGCAGGGGCTCCTTACCTGCGATGTGTCAGGTTGTGTCAGTATCCTTTAACAGAGGTAAGTGGGGTCAGTCTGGATCAGTGCAACCTGTGCTTGTTCCCTCTCTGACCAGGACTGAGGGACTCTGGGGGAGCGGACTACTGGCGAGAGGGGTGTCAGAGGGAGGGCCAGCTGTTAGTCTGTCCGTTTTAACTAGCATGCGGTTATTAATAGAGCTGATCACACACAGACAGACATACGTTAACACTTTTGAGTGTAATGGACACAGCAGGTGTCTGCTCAGGTTATGACTTCACTGTGTTTGTAGAGTTCATTCATTAGCGGGACATTCTTGAGTTTCAGCTCCAAGTTTTGGTTAACATGCATGATCAATGGCCTAGTTTCTATGATTTGGAGCAAAGATATCAAACACCTTACCGTAGCATGCTCATAACAACACATTTTATATAATTTAAGGTATCATTTATCCATTTTTTTTGGAAATAGGCTCATTTTACAAGTTAAACAGTTGAGTTTTACCGTTTTCATATCAGTAAGACAATTTCTGGTTTCAGTGACTTCCATAAGTCAATGAGACCAGAAACTGTCTGGTTACTGATATTCTTCTAAATATCAGAAAATATGCTGAATGGATTCAAAAACGGTAAAACTCAACTGTTTAACTTTGGAGGAGTTGTAAAATGAGCCTTTTTCCAAAAAAAGTGGAGTATCCCTTTAAGGTGACATATACACTTACTTGTAATAACAGTAAATTATGCATAATTACAATTAACCAACCCTAAGCCAAAAATAAACTCAATTGAATGTTTTCAGACACTTAAGTGCACTATGATGCAATTAAATAAAAATGCATTACAGTTTACATTTATATTAAATACAATTAGCATTTAACATCTTTATATGTAATTTCATAATTACTTCTAATGTCTTTATAATTTGGTTAAAGTGTACTGCTGAATTTATAAGCATTTATGGTAATCCAGGTGAAAATTAAGTGTAATTGAGTGCACTAAAAAACACTTAAATACCATTTTATACACAAATTATACACTATAAATAGATAGAGGCTACTATTGAAAAAATAGACAGAAGAGTTTTATTAATGTACAGTAAGTACGTTTTTAACACATTAAAAATAGTTCATTGTTAGTGCACTTTTAGATAGCTAGCATACGTTTAAATTAAATTGATTTTACTTAAAATATATTCAAAATCTAATAGTCAAAAATGACATTTTCCAAAATGTGCTCAGAAAATGCTATTGATAACAGTAATAGTGTACCTGACTACTTTTAAAATACACCGTTAACATATTTAATTATCTTTTATAATGGTACTGTTAACATATATATTTGAAATAAATTATTTACTATATAATATGATTTGTATGTATTATATTATTACATTTGAAATAATTTATAAGTGTATCTAAAAATGCATTAAAGATGGGTAAAATAAAAACAACTTTAAGCTGCAATAGTATGTTAAAAGCATATTTTAGTTCATCTTCAGTGTGTTTAAATATAGCGCAGTTGAGTAGAGTTTATCTTAATAAGAAAAACTTTTAGTATATTAAGTACAAAATTAGTGTGTGAAAATGGAGCACTTTAAGTACATAATGGATGTATACTTTAATAAAATGTGTTTATATATAATTTGTATATATTTATTATATATTATTATTATATTTTAAATAATTTATTATTGCATTTAAAATGCATTAAAGATGTTTTCAGTTTTTTTAAAAGTTGAAATAGTATATTTAAAATACACTTTATAATTCATCTTCAGTGTGTCTCAAAATAGCAGCTGAGTACACTAAGATGATCTTAAGTAGTATTAAAGATAAGCTTTTAATATATTAAGTACAAATTAAGTGCGTGAAAATAGAGCACTTAAGTACATTATGGAAGTGTACTAAGTGCACTTAAATAAAATGTATTTTAGTGAACTTTTTTTCACCTGGGAAACTAAAATGCACTTTATTGTATTTTATGAAACTTACGTAATATTTTTATTTCATATAATGAGGAGGCTTTCAATTTAGTACAATTACAACTGATTAACTTTAAATGTAATATTGAATTGCATACTACAGTTTATATTATAATCAATCATGTTAATCAACACATCAAAATTAGTGTACTTTAAACACAACGAAACATTATTAAACTAAAACATGATTTAAAATAAAACTTGTAAGTTAACATTATTATAAAGTGCACCTTTTAAAAGTGTACTTAAGTGTGTTAAGAAACAAAGTCATAAAAAGTGTGTTATCTGGATGTAATTTTTTTAAATCTGAAGCACACTACAAGTGCACATTTACGTGCACTTTTTTCACAAGTGTAGTCTCTCAAAGCCAATAGCTTTGACCAGAGTAATAACCAGTCATTTATAATCTGTGCATAAAAGTGTAATCACTGATGTCCTTGTAGTTTTACAAGCAATGAATATGCTTGTTGTTATATAAATAATGATTTGCAATATAACTTGAATGGCCAACGCTGACTGTAATTTACGTGTTTCCTCCAGTGTACAGTAGATATCCCAAATAGCAGATTAATTGCAGAACTATTTTGAACACGGTTCAGTCTTCAATGTCAGCTGCCACATAGTTTGGTTGTATGACAAGTCAGCCCATTCTCACTCCCAAGGCGTCACCTAACTGACGCCTTGGGAAGCATTTGGACATGCTTCAATATCTGACGCTTTAGGCGCCCTTTAGCGTCAGTTAGATGACGCCCTAGGATCGCGTGTACCCTACCCCCACCCCACACCTAAACCTAACCGCGTCCTCTAACTGACGCTTTCCTTTAGCGTCAGTTAGATGACGCTGTAGGATCGCGTTATGTAAGTGACGCTAAAGGGCGCCTAAAACGTCAAATATTGAAGCATGGTCAAAGGTGACGCCTTGGGGTGAGAATGCGTTGGACAAGTACAAGCTCGGGAGTTGAGCCAGGCCTCCCAAGCCATTATATAACCAGACAGCAACTTGTTACAGACTATTAGACTCTCCTTAAGGCTATTCATCATTCTTTTCCCTCCAAAAAACTCCACAAAGATTTCAAAAAACAACTATATGCTGTCAGAGATATTTCTAAACATGTTACTTTAATAGAAGTGCAAGCATGGCTTTATGTCAGTCACATACAAAAAGTGGAGCTGTAGAGTGTATGTCAAACAAGCTACTTAATACTGATCTATAAACAGTATAAAGCGAGCCGCTTGCTCCACTCTGCGTCAGATGATGCACTCAAGAAATGTCCAAACATGTTTGATAAACTTATCACACTACAAAACATATATTGACATGTCAAATTTGAGCTTTCTGATATCCTTCTCATGGAAACATTAGTCATTGAATGAAGAAACAATTCAGTGCAAATCAGCGCAGTCTCATCCCAAGACATCATATAACTGACGTCTTGGGACGTCTTTTGACCATACGTGAACATCTGCCGTTTTAGGGTACCCTGTAAGACCTTCGTTCATCTTCGGAGCACAAATTAAGATATTTAAGATATTAAGATCGCTCCTGCATACTAGTCCATAGGCTTCTTGAGGGAATGACTCTTGCTGGCATCGAAAAGTCATTAAAGATATCGTTAAAATAGTCCAAGTGACTACAGGGGCTCAATTTTAACTTTATCAAACGACGAGAATACTTTTTGTGCGCAAAAACAAACAAAAATAACGACTTTATTTCAACTATTCACTTCCTTCTCCATGGGCCTGTAGTCAGTTAATGTAGTGTGATAGCGTAAAGCTACGTCACACGTACTTAGGCTCACTATTGGCCGACGCTGGTCATGTGTGTGTGATGGGTGTGACGTACAATAACAGAAGCTAACGCTATTAAACTAGTAACCTGACTCGAGGCAGAGGGAGAAATAAACGAATAGTTGAAATAAAGTCGTTATTTTTGTTGTTTTTGCGCACAAAAGTGTTCTCGTCGTTTGATAAACTTAAGATTGAGCCACTGTAGTCACAAGTACTGTTTTAACGATGTCCTTTAATGACTTTTCGAGGCCAGCAAGTTCCATTCCCTCAAGAAGCCTATGGACTAGTATACAGGAGCGATCTTAATATCTTAAATATCTTAATTTGTGTTCTGAAGATGAACGAAGGTCTTACGGGGTTGGAACAACATGAGGGTGAGTAAATACTGACAGAATTTTCATTTTTGGGTGAACTAACCCTTTAACGTTAGTTAGGTGACGGGGTAGGTTTTGGTCTGGGGTAGGGTTAGGATCCGATAACGTCATCTAACCGACGTTAAAGGGTACCCTAAAACGGCGGATGTTGACGTATCGTCAAAAGACGTCCCAAGACATCAGTTTATGACGTCTTGGGATGAGACTGTGTAATGCAAATTAGTATCATTTTGAGAGCATGCATTGTCACATATGAGAACCCACAGACATTCACAGGAACATAAGGATGTTCATTCATTTAAAAAAAAAAATAGTAGTGAATTTGTTTAAGTGAATCTGAGTGTTGGGCAACAGGGCATAAAGGGTCAGACCGGCTCACTGAAGAGTGAGTTAATCTTTTCTAGTGAAGCTTATGTAACAAGTACGACTGATTCGACAGTTTCTGCCCAATAGCTTTGTGGCACAGTCACAAACAAAATTATTTTCTTTCTTTCTCTAATTTTATGACTAGCTGTCGTCATAACTGAATTATTTGAATGCTGTCATTTAAAGGGATAGTTCACTTCAAAATGACAATGCTGTCATCATGTACTCACGCTCAAGTTGTTCCAAACCTGTTTGAATTTCTTTCTTCTGCTGAACTGTAAAAATGAATGTGCTTTATTTAATAAAAAAAAAATTGTGGCAACAGATTACAAGCAATATTATTAATTCAATTTAACAAATTAGAATTGAGTAATAATTAATCAAATTAATTCCTTAAAGGTTAACCATTTAAAATTAGTAAAACTTTTTTTGTTTTAAGTAAATTTAAGTCATGGTGATCGGTGTGTTTTAAAACTACGGTTTTCTCCTTCAGTGATTCTGCTTGTTAACATCAGGTGTCTTCAATGTTGGCAATATAAAATAAAGAGTTCTTAATTAATCTTTGACGTTATTCAGATATTTTTTTTTACATTTTTGGGTGTAAACTTTACTCATTTTAAATGGTTAACTTTTAAGGAATAATTTTATTCATCATTACTCAATTCCAATT